AATACTTGAGACCAACTAACAATAACTTACAAGTTATCCAAAATAGAATAAAATAGTACAAGTAAGTCAAAACGATTTATCATATTGCATGATGAAGCATTCTTGCTTTTAAATGTATGTGCGTGCATGCAAACTTCTCTCATCTTTGGGTTCTTTCTTAAAGCCGAGCACTCCAGTGTTCTAGTATGTGTGAGGAGGTTTGTAAAGTAACACAGAAATGCTGCTGTTGATTGATGACAGACATTTATTGCAATGACAGAGCCATGTGTTTGTGAATAGGACTTATAATTGAAGCAGGAGGGGGAAAAACAAGAATGAATTTTTTTAGTCGTTGATGTTCATATTGCAAATAGTGCTATGGCTGAGATGAGTGTATTAACTTTACAAATAGCATGCTTTTTAAAACAGAGGCAATGCATTGTCCTCATCACAAAGAAAATATGAAAAGGTTATATATATATATATATTATCTCAACCGATATCTAATATTTTCCACAGACTTATAATCTAGTACGGAGTTTTGATTGTACTAAGGACACCAAAAATACAAGTTGGCATCATGTGATTCATGCCATTCAGTTTCCATTAAGCAGGAAAACGAAGTTGAACCAGCAACAGGTATACTTAGGTCCTCTGACTAATGAGTTCCTGTGGTATGAATAGAAACAATCACAAAATGAAGGAGAACAAAATAGGAGCACCACATACGCCTAATGTATGATATTTTGCAGTCTGTTCTCTTTTGGCATATTTCAGCTAAGAAATTGCTTGGTTCTGAAACAAGAAATACTCCTAAAACAATGTGAATGAAACCACAGTCAGTTAATTACTGGGAGCTGTTTTCAATGACAAATGACTTGATAAATTGTCCAAGTTTGTCAGGGGTGAAGACAGATGACCGGGAGACAGGCTTAGTGAGATGCCAGAGGTGCTAGCAGGGTGATGTCAACTCTGGTGACAGATATGTACTAGTAGTGGTCTTTGTGGAATGCCTGACAGGCGTTAGAATATGACATTCAATGTTCCTTCAAAACCAGGGACATACCAGTAGTCAACTTACCGAGAGGGGAGGAAGGGATAAAAAAATAACCTTTAGATTGCTTTAAAACTGCCAATATGTGGCAGTAAGATACAGTCTTTGTTAACTAGTTGATATTATGATTACACTTATTTCATATCAGATGGAATCTAATATTATGTTACATAATTATATAGTGATAATATACTTCCTATACCCTTGTAATAAGCCACTACATCTCAGCACCAATCCAAAAATGCTGTCAAAAAAAAAAAAAAAAAAAAATCCAGAAATTCAATACTCCTTCCCCCATTTCTGAACCACACGTTCCCAGAGGCGATGTATGGATCAAGATATGTTGATCATGATTCACTGGACCTTTGCATTCAATTCAAACACCGTCCAGGGAGCGACAGCTGCGAACTTATGAATGTATGGATTATAAGAGGAGAGAGAGAGTGGGGAGAGAAACACACACGCCAGTCTGCCTGCTTGTCTGGGCAGTGAGATCCCACGGTCAAACTTTATACTAGTAGATCTGTATTGTGGGGCCAAACTACTTGCCATGAGAGTCCATCTGCATGGGTGATGATAGCTGAAGTTTTGTACAAGTATTCTCACTGAGAAGTTCAGAAATGTGCACAGAATTAGTCAGAGAAATATATGTGACTATCAAGTGAAAACAATCTCTTCGTGGCTCTGGAAAAAACGGACTTTCAGAGAAGGAAATACCTCACATCCCGTCCCAGCAACAGGGGGTTGAAGAAATCGGGACTTGATAGCTTTCCAACAAGTGCTATGATAAAGAGGTGTGAGAATTGAGAAGTTTTTTGTCATACAATACTGTGACACACACTGCTTTTTGGAGGCTTTAGACAACTGCCTGTTGATTCTGCAGCTCTCTCACAAGCAAGGCAGAGTTTTTCCGTGTTGATGGCAAGTGTCACTTTGTGGTGACAGTCCTGTTGTGAAAAAAACAAGTGTCACATGTGGAAGGCATTTTAACGGAGGCACAAGGCAGTGAAGTAAAGCAGGATTGGGATGCTTTATCTGTAGGACAGGCAGCAATTGAACCTTGAGAAAAGTTTTTCAATGCAGTAAAAACTCAGAGTTTTCACTTGTCATCCAAGGTAGAGGTGCATTCACTGTTCACCAGTGATTTCTAGACAGCTTATGTGTAACCATGGAGACAGCCATGCCTATGGCCTATAACTGCAGGACTGTGGAAGGGTTTTTCCCTTGACACTTTGGTGCTAAAGTGTAAACCATGTGGCTTTGTGATTGACATGAAGTTAGCAGAAAGTATTTTTAGCTAAATATGAAAACTTATCTCCAGTGTTCAAAGAAAGTGCCAAAGACACCCCCTCCCAATTTTATCATACACTTGACAAAGTTGCCCCCTTCATTGTGGAACTCACCTAGCTACACTTTCATGATGGCATTAAACTCTACCTGGAAGCAATTTTTAACATGTTGAAATCAACTTAGAGGTATCAGCGAGTTAAATGATAACTGTTTAAGTCTGTTAGTGTGACATTTGGCATCCATTGTATCTTAATGTATTCATCGTAACAGTAACAGTGTAGAGGCTGTCCAAAGTAACAAAGGGAGAAGTGTGCTCCAGAATACGTGACAAATGACATCAGTGGAAATTACACAACGGGATCACAGATCGACTTGTAATCTACCAATGCAATTTAGTTAACTCATTTTATGAATGTACTTAACAGGGGAATAACGGTTTCGGGTTAACGCGTATCAGTCTGTAACTGATCATTGCACTTGTAGACAGTTTGTTGGAAGTTGTAGTCAGTGGTAAAGTTGTGATTTTTTGGGGCAAGAACTCGTGGTCTTCATACTCACACTTTTCTTTTCATGGACACTTGTTTGCAGCAGTTTTGGAGCTCTGTGAATATCTCTGTGTTGTGTTACTGACATATACAAGTTCCTGCAGCTGTCGGTGAATTGGACGTGCTCTGAGTGTGGAGTGAAGTTCAGAAGAGAAGAGAAAATAGTGTGACTGAGATATTGAAAAACTGTTTCAACCTTGTAAATGGTCAGTGTAATATGCTGCCAGCTGATCACTCAATGGTCACTGAATTATACTTAATGTTGGAGACACTGGTGCCTTGTTGACTTTTTGGGGACACTGGGCTCATCAACAGTTTTTGGTTCTATTGCACTCATATTGCCCAAGACAAAAGGATTAAAACAGTGAAAAAAATTATTTTACTCAGAACTGGAAAACAGGATGCTGAATAGTATTCTAAACAGGATGCAGAAAAGTATTCTAACATGGATTTTTGAGCCAAAGCTTAGGACAAAATAGAAATTTATATTTCTCCTTGTAGTGTCACTTGGCAGTTGCTATAATTTCCCTTTTGTGACAGTTTTTTTCCCACCAGAGGGGGTGAGAGTGGTAGACCACTCCATTGGGGGTGACAGAGTGCTTGGCACAGTTTGGAGAACATCCAAGTTAGTTAAAGTTTGTTAGTGATGAAAGAAAAGGAGGTGGACTAAAGTTTACATCAACAGGACCTTTAGATGAGGAAAGGTTATAGTGGAGATTCACAGCACTGTGCTGTTTTAGAAGTCGGTGCTACGACATAAGGTCTACATAGGAGACAGAAATCGCTGGTGACAGTTCTGGAAACATCGCAGCAAGCATGTCTGTAGTTTGTGACTTGGACTTCAAATCTCTCAAGTGACATTTTAAGGCAGGAGACTTACTTAAGAAATCAGGGACAGCTAAGATTGGGTTGTTCTGTCGGCTGTTCTGTATATGCCATGGGGATTTCAATGCTTTTTTTCTTTTCAAGAACAAAAGTACCAAGGCTGAACTAGGCAAAGAAAAAAGATGGAACAGTTTCAGCCTCTGGTTTTGTTAGAAGTATAATAACCTGAGAGAGAGAAGCCCATGGATTTGTATATAACCTATCATGTGTGTGGCTATATATATAGTCCACTTAAACTGCTACAAATTAGGGGGAAAGGGATGCCCAAGAAGACTCACCACAGGGAGAGATCATTTATGTAGAATTTTTCCGCAGCATGGACCTTGTTGTTTATTGCTCTGTTCTTAGCAGAATATTTATAAAACAATTCAAGAGTGCTTTTACAATAAATTCCGTTATGTGCTTAACATCCTAAGTGACAAGTGGCAGGATTTAAGAAGTTGGAAAAGTAAAAGAAAAAAAAGTACTTCAGCTGTCTGAGAGAGTGTTCCCAGACTTCACTATTAACATATTGCAGAATAACTTCAAGAGGATAAAGCATTACTTTGAATAAAGTTATTTTCCATTTATCACAGTTAGACTAGAGAGGATAATTATCCTGGAGTATTCCAAGTGTGGTGGATTTTATTTTCCCTGAAAAGAACACTCTTACCTGGATCACAGTGAGGTCAGAGGTCACTCTCACACCTTGTATCTAAGCTATAACCCTGAGGATCATAAATCAAGAAACTGTCAGTGTTCAAGAATCACTCACCTGGGGTTTTAATCAAGACTGACTATTATTACACAAGGCAATTAAGGGTACTGTTAAACTTAATGAGTTATTATGTAACGGTGTCCCTAAATCCCAGCCTTATATCCCACCAAAGGTATTAAAGATAGGGGCTAGGTTGTTAACTCCCTACTGGCGGAGGTACTGAGAGGACTATCTTTGACTTGTTCTCTCTCTAACAGGTGGGAAAGAACAGTTCAGCTTTATAGACACAGTATATGCCATTCCCAATCTTTAATAGAGATATAACCATCTGGATTTACCTGTTGGAAAAGGACAATAACTTAATTATGGAAGAATGAAGCATGCTTATGCACTGGAAGATTACCTGAGAGACACCTGTGGCTCAATAGTATATTTCTTGGCTTATATTTTTGACAAAAAAAAATCACATTTGATAAAGGCCACATTGGGTATATTGATAGATATCCCAGTAGATGTATACTAGTACATACAGGAGCTGTTATTTGAGACTGGATATGAGCTGTATTGCCCTGCACGCCCTGTTACTTAATTGCTGTCATTTGTACAAAGGATTATGTGTATTAGGTCCCCGCGCTGTAATAATAATGGAGTAACGGCACAAAATGTGAGATACTGGGTACAAAATGTGTGTGATACTCATGTGAAGTCGCTGAAATCTAATTATTTTGAAGTAAAGGGAAACTGCGGTGTTATAATGTCATAACTGGGTGAAGAACACAGTGACAGCACACCAAGGAGAGGAAACTTTGACAAGGACAACCAGCTCGCCAGGAAGAAATTGTGGACCACTTTTATTGACCTGAATTATCCTTACTCAAAACAAACAGTGTCCATGTGCGGATTATGATACTTTATCAAATTGGAGCCAAGATTTGATGAAATGTGAATGGAGAGATGTGTATGTCTGTGGAATTTGGATTGTTAAGATAATCTGTGGAAAACTTTGTCAGACTGTTGAAGGTTTTATCCTGGAATTAGTGTCTAGTGGACTGAAACTAACAGTATTGTAAAGCTAGAGTTTTTTTTTCTGAAAAATATAATAATAATAATAATAAGCCAGGATGCCAAGAGGAAGTTTTCTCTGGCGCTGCACTTTCTCAGAAGAGGATTTTACATTTTACACGCCACTGTTGATAGGTAGGTGTCCAGATGTTCTGTTCACAGTAACCTATGGCTAGTTTTATGATATTAATTCCTTTTCTCAAAAGTTGGTCACAACTTAAAACCCAGAAATCACAGACCAGTGTACTAGCAAAGTAACTCTGGAGTGGTTTTTAAAAAAGATTTATAATGGTAGTGGTTTAAAACAAATTATTTTTACATTTTGTAGGATCATATTTTGTGTGTCACTTTTTGGTATCTATAAATATCTCTGTGCAGGTTAATGCAGTGAACCTGTTCCTTTTCAAGTTAAACGCAAGTCTTGTTGCCAAGTTGTGTCAGTCCATGTTCGAACCAAGGTTGCACCAATTTGAACAGTGGAAACAGGCCTTTTGTTTTCTATTTGGAAAGTGGATGAAATGAGTCTGAAATTGCAGACCTTGAACTATAACAGCTGCTTGGCAACCTTTATATGATGTGCAATTAGTTTATTATTTAAATGACATTAGAATTGGCCCTTTGTTTGAGAAATGTTTTTGTGGTTAGAGCTAAGAGCACATTTGTGGCTTTCAGTGGAATAGAAATGGAAATTAAGATGTAGCACATCATGAATATGTTTAGTCTAATTTACTACTGTGTAATGTATTCACATTCCGAGAGAGAGAGAGAGAGAGAGAGAGAGAGAGAGAGAGAGAGAGAGGGGGAGACAAAAAGAGACGGACTGAGTGGTGAGAAGAGCATGTGCACATTTCATGAAGGATAACAAACTATTTCAACTTTTTTAGGCCAAAAAACTAAACGATGTTCACATACCATGACATCATAGTCTATGGTGTCACATACTATTTCTGATGCAACTGAACCATGTAATTCATATGCTTTCCCACAGTTACGTTGTACACAGTGAGTCATGAAGGTGGTGTTAGAAAAAAATTATTCTTTGCTATCTAGGCACAAACTTCCTTCTTACTTTCAGAATTGACTAAAGCTTTGATATTTTTTTTTCTCTCAGTGAATTGTACCGACAAATCGATAATTAATCATAGATTTTCATTCAGATAGGACAACGAGAAGGTCTTGAGTGGTTAAGTCTAGATTACTCCCAGGATAGAATTAAAGATATTTGAAAGTAAAAATAATGAAATGATAAATAAACGAAAGACCATTGATTTACAATATACGAGAAGTAGAATATTGACATGATGCATTTAGATGTAATTCCTCGCCCCTCCCCCCCCCCCCAAAAAAAAAAAAAAACCTTCATGCAATTTTTATTTCAGTCTATAGATGTATGTCCAGATATTGAAAAAAGAAAGCAGTTGCAGGGCTGGGGGGGGGGGGGGGGAGGGTGTCAGGATGTGTTCTTGTCTCATGTGACCTCATAAAGTGTCAAATGCATTCCCAGCTGATTCCCATTAGAGAGAAAGAAAAATGAGATTGATATCATTATATCATATTGCTATGTATTTCTTACAGATATCAGACAGCAATTAAATGAACAGTTAAAATGCCTGGACTTGAGGCTGGAGAACCAAATGGCCATGGTGGCCGAGATACAGGATTTTTTCAAGAAGAGGGCGGAGGTGGAGCAGGAATACTCCCGAAATCTGGACCGCCTGGTGAAACAAGTGATGGTACGCCACAAGGCTGACAAACAGAGGTGAGAGGAGGTTTGTGGTGTGAGTTAGAGTATAATATGTGGGGGATTGTGTTAGTTGTGATAGTTGGCAAGATGTGACAATGTGTTAGATGTGACAATGTGTTAGATGTAACATGTTAAGTGTGATAGTGTGTTAGATGTGACAATGTGTTAGATGTAACATGTTAAGTGTGATAGTGTGTTAGATGTGACAATGTGTTAGATGTGACAGTGTGTTAGCTGTAACATGTTAAGTGTGACAATGTGTTAGGTGTGACAGTGTGTTAGATGTGACAGTGTGTTAGATGTGACATGTGAATGCCATCAAAACACTGGCATGCTGAAAACTAAATAAATTTTAAAAAACACACACAGCTGCTGGAGTTCGACTGGCATTTAAGAAAAATTTGTTGGACTGACTTTCAATTCAAAATGTGTTCAAAATTGTTGTCTATCCCATGGACTCGCTGATCACAATTTTCTACCAGTCCTCAACATTTTAATGGGTGATATCCATAAGAACTGACAGGTTTAATGTGTATAAAGAGATATCTCATGCCAGCAGATTTCTGACTGTACCTGCCATGTTAATTTTACACAGATTGAAATATTTGCTTTACCTGTAAAAGATGTAATGTAGATGTTCAGAGATGATCAAATTGAGAGACCACCAACAAGGTCAGCTAAGGCAGATGTTCCATATCACACTAATGTTGTCATTGTTAATTTGATTTCTTTTTTTTTTTTTTTTTAATTTTAAAAGTTTAATTTACATATTTTTATGAAGTAATTTGCCAACTGATCTTAATGAAACAACTCAGATTAAAATTATAATTTGACTTTCACCCCAAACTTTTCAGTGTTTGATTTGAGGAATGTACTATGAAGGCCTTTCTCTGTTGGAAACATTAGTACCTTACCTGTTTTCTATATTTTGACATGAGTCAAGAATCATTCACAGATGACGTAGACAGTTAAGATGGTTTTTCAGAGTTCCAGACCCCTGAATTTCATTTAGTAGTATCTATCTCCATTATAACTGAGATAAATGTTGATCAAAACCCAATCCTCATATTGTGTGAAATGTTGGATTTGATGGATTATCTTAGTTTTTGGTCTGGTATTGAATGTCCTCATAGCTTCTGTGTGTGTGTGTGTGTGTGTGTGTTTTTGTGTTTGTTCTCCTCTTGTTAATATCATGTGGTATATCTGTATTTCCATACCAAGCAATTTGAGCAAATGAAGTAAGAGAAATGTAGAGGGTTGTCTTGACATCTAGTTATTGTGAGGCTTTCTGGTAGAACACAGAGTGCAATGAAATGGGATAAATACCACAAAATATGTCATCAATTTAAAAAAATGAAAAAAGAAAAGATATGATGCTTATCAAACCAGCTGCGTGCCAGTTAAATTCCTACCTTTTTTATTAACAAATTGAATTTTTGAACCTGATTTATGTTTTGAAGGGTTTCTACCAGCTGCCTAGTAAATCGTGGCTAAGGCAGAACTCCAGGCAGGCAGGGACACGTGCTCCAATACAGTTCAAAGAATTACATTGAGTCGATACACTTGAAAAATTGGAAAAACACTCGCATGAAATATGGTTTTTCCACCAGAATCTTGAAAAATCTAACTTTGAAGAGAAATCACCCCATCACACTTATATTCTCACTAGTGCTTCAGACATGAAATAAATTTCAAACCCTTATCGGGAGAACATTCTGGAAAAGCCTGAATTTTAAGGCATTTCATTGTTGTCCAGACACTTGTGTAAAACTCTGCTGGTGTTTGGGCTGTTGGGTTCACATGCACTTTCAAACACAGAATGGAATCAAAGATTTGTAGCATATCTCCAGAGAAAGTTGGACTTATATATATTCAGTTCAGCTAAGATCATATGGGTTATTTTTATGAAAGTACAACCTAAAAGTTTTTATTGATAGTGTAAGTACAATTGACTATTAAATGACATAAGAATAAATCAAAACTATCGCTATCTTTAAAATTCCATGCACAACTGAATACTTGAACTGAATACTTGAAATTATAAATTCCAATAATATTTTAAAATAGAAAATAAATTCAAATCACTCATTCAGGCGAGAGTCATGGCACCTGTATTCCACATACACATGCTGGCAGCATCTCCTGGCTATGACGAAGAAGCAGAGCAAAGACCACGGGACAGTGGGGGATATATACGGGAATATCATGGTACAGAGGCTGTCAGAGGTCATGGAGGATGCACAGAGGATGTATAAAGCTGTGAGTACTGAGGGTTACTTTCTGTATTTGCCAGTTCTCCCCTTCCCTCTCTTTCTCTTTCTCTCTCACACGCGCACACACACAAACACACTTTCTCTGCCCTCTCTCCCTCTCTCTCATGCACACATTTTCTTCCCATCCCTCCCTCTCTCTCTCTCTCTCTCTCAATTCTCAGATATGTGTCAGCAATTCTAAGGTAATAAGTCATAAAGTTGACTCAATGAAGTGGCCTCAGTCAAGTCCAGATCATATCAGTCATTGTACTCCACTCATGCCTGCAGTATGTGTCTTTTTACACAGGTCTATCCTCCTAGCAGGTGCAGAATGCATGTGGTATTTCAGGTATTATACTCTCTGAACCTGAGAAATGCTCAGAATTCTGGGAGTTTTAGATATTTGACCCTCTGAACTTTGACCTTTGACCTTGAGTTTTTTATCATCTGTAAGAATTCAGAATGTCTTTCAGATTGAACTTTTCCAGTGATTATTAGGCTTGGAATGAAAGAATTGTTCCCAATAAATCACTTCTTTCAATCTTCTTGAATTATTTAAAGAAAAAGTTTTTGTGAAGTGGCAGAATAAAGCATATTTTTGGAGAGAAATTGTTCTAGATGTTGAGTATTGAGAATTGTGGTTATTTCAGCTGTGTTACCTAAAAGTTGCCCTACTAATTTTGGAGAAATACATTGTTATTTTAATGCAACTGGCATTGATTGCATTTGTAATAAAAGCAGTTTCTTGAAGCAAAGTTGTAGATAAGGTGGTTGAAACATTTGCTCACACTTACAGGGGACATGATTTTCATATTTGGATATAAGTTGACTAGTCCATGGTAAAGACTGCATCATTAAACCATATACAGGAGTTAATTCACTTTTCCTTTTCCAATTAAATCTACTCTTTAATCTCTTTCCCTCCTTAACAGATGAAAGCTGAGTATTTTCTCACATCATACGGTGCAGCCTTATTCCATTCTCTTCAAACCACTTTCTTTATCTTGTGGTGATTCGCAGAAAATTAATTGGAAAAATTGATTTCTTTCGACTGTATTCTTTTTGCTGCTAGACATAAGATAAACCTCATTTTGATATATTTAACAGTTCTTGCAACAGAAGAAGAAACAAAAAATATTTGGAGTAAAAACGTAGCAGGTAACTCAGAGAATGCAAATTCAATGAACAATTTCATTACAGTAAAGTCTCTTTATATTCGAATACAATAGATAATTAATTTTTACAGAACAGTATTTATGTTACTGATTGAGGGAAAGACCTGTATGTGAGGAAATAAAAAGGGCATGTCATCAAGTAATATGATAGGAGGGGGTGAAGTGTTTAGAATTTTAAAATAATTTTCACATGATTTCAAGTGTTAGTACCTTACTAGTCAAACTTAGGATGCCTTTTCTGCTGAATCAGAGGTCAGAGGTCACAGGTCAAAGGTCACAAGAAAAAGGCTCCCCGCCTACATCCAAACAAACAGACATACTTCTTGACAAAAACTTGATTTAAAAAAGATCAAATACCTACTCTGGCCAAATTTGATTTTCCCTGTGTTTTCTAACACAACAATATTTCACATCATCTTTACACTGAATATCCAGTTTATGGTCCCAGTCAGGACCATAGTGCCAGGAATCCTGGCCTTGTTAGCTGGTGTTAGGCCCTGAAAGGTATAACAGAGAAGGTAAAAGTGAAAGTTAGTCCTAGTGTTTGTATTGTGACCTAAAGTTGTAACAAAATATCAGATTATCAAAGACGTTGTAACAAAATATCAGATTATCAAAGACTTTGGAAAGGAGACAGGTGTTACTGTGTATATAAATCCAAACAAGACTTTTGCCATATTAGGGCAGTTTTAGGAAAGTGTTTCAGAAGTTTTACCTCCCTTATAAGTTTGAGATATTAGGAGAGGAATGTTTCACTTGGTTTATATCCATTATTGAGTATTTCTTGGTTGTGGCCTTCAAATGGCATGTCCACAAAGCTTCCTTTGTGTCTGTTAACAGTCTTAACATCATATTGGGCATGTAAAAAATGGATTTTTCAATCTTAATAGTGGAGTCCAATTAGTGGAAATTTTGACAGTTGTTTTAGATTATTTTCCCATTATTTTTAGACATTTTATCTGTGGATGAGATCATTTTGATTTTTGTTAGGTATTTTTCTGAGAACATCTCGTCAGAGTTTCCAGATGACTAGGACTTTTAAGACACAAAATGTGGACTAACAAAAACAAACAAAAAAAAAAAGATAGGAAGTCCTGATGATGACTTTCATTATGCAATTTTGAGGAAGATTTGTGGAGAAGATGATATCCCTGGTGTGATATTTGTCTTAGGTTCATCATAATATAAAATTAATCCCAGAGAGATCTGATTAGAAAGATGGAGACATCGTGACATTTACCAAATGGTTTTATAATCTGGTCTTAGACTACATTGGTTGATTGAGATTTTTTTTTTTTTTTTTTTTTTTTTG